CACCAACACGCTCGGCATAATTGCCTTTTCTTAAGAATCGGTGTACGCGACCTACTGGGAACTGGAGACCAGCACGGGATGAACGAGTCTTGGACTTGCCCTTTGCCTTACCACCTTTTCCACGACCAGACATGATTGTATGTTAACTATTCGGCTCGAACTAGGACGAGAATGATACTGCGGGTATCTCACTGGCTGTTTTTATACACCCGACCCGGATTCCGATTGCAAATATATACTTCCAATCAGAATTGAGGATAGAGATGAATAGCATTCAGTCAGCGCCTCAACAATGACAATGAACACTTTGAATGAAAAAAACCCTAAAAAACTGTGTTTTCTCTTGCGTTCGTTTAGTTTTGGCGCGCTTGGTTTAGAATCCTTCATTAGCATATCGTTCGCTATAAATAGTGAATCAACGCCAATGACTGTCACTTTGAACTTCATCCTCATACGTTCAACATGCCTCCCAAAACTAGTGGTAAAGCAGCAAAGAAAGGCGGTAAGGCTAAGGCCACCCGTCCTACTGGCGACAAGAGAAAGCGAAAGAGAGGTAGAAAAGAATCTTACGGTATTTACATCTACAAGGTATTGAAGCAAGTTCACCCAGACACTGGTGTGTCATCCAAGGCTACGTCGATCATGAACAGCTTCGTCAACGACATATTTGAACGTATCGCCACAGAGGCCTCCACGTTGGCACACTACAACAAGCGTAGAACCATTACCAGCAGAGAGGTTCAGACCGCTGTCCGTCTTCTTTTGCCCGGTGAGCTTGCCAAACATGCAGTCAGTGAAGGAACAAAAGCAGTCACCAAGTATACCAGTTCGAAGTAGTATGCTTGTCATACACAAACCAAACGGCCCTTTTCAGGGCCACCACATCCTCCAAAAAGAGAACTACCGTGAAAAAAAAAGTGACGTGGAATGATCCTGGACTTCTTGTTGTCACGAGCGGCGTTACCGGCCAACTCCAGTATTTCCGCGGCCAAGTACTCGAGTACTGCAGCCAAATATACAGGAGCGCCGG